CGTTGCAACGCCACAGCCTACCTGAGTATTGTTGCTGACCATGTCCATCCCTTTATGACCACAATGTACCCAACTTCTGATGGCTACTTTCAGCAGGATAATGCGCCATGTCATAAAGCTGGAATCATCTCAGACTGGTTTCTTGAACATGACAATGAGTTCACTGTACTCAAATGGCCTCCACAGTCACCAGATTTCAATCCAATAGAGCATCTTTGGGATGTGGTGGAACGGGAGATTTGCATCATGGATGTGCAGCCGACAAATCTGCGGCAACTGTGTGATGCCATCATGTCAATATGGACCAAACTCCCTGAGGAATGCTTCCAGCACCTTGTTGAATCTATGCCACCAAGAATTGAGGCAGTTCTGAAGGCAAAAGGGGGTTCAACCCGTTACTGGCATGGGGTACCTAATAAAGTGGCTGGTGAGTGTATATACTTATGCAATAATGGTTTGATCAATTTTTTCTTCTCTGTATGGAAAATCTAGGGAGTTAAGAAATTAAAACTTGCCTAGTCCTATTCAATATCTACTTACTGTTGCTGTTTACATACATGGTAGAGTTGGCATTACAGTACAGCCAATTTGATTCAGCTTTTTTTCAGAAAATTTAATTTATTCTGGATAGAGAGCAGACTCCAGTTTCAGAAAGTGGGGTAAATATATATGCTACGTAGAGAGAAGCAATTTCGAGTGAATTTTTGCATCTCTGAGGCTCAGACTCTGAGGCTTAAACTGAATACTTCAAATCTGTAAGGATACTTAAGCAACAGGAAAAGTGTGTACATTGTGGCTATTATAAGTGCTAACTGAATGGTGCTGGCACTTAAGAGGAAGCTAGGAGGAAGAAGCAACATGCTTCCTAGTGCCAGTGCAGTTAGCATAGGGACTATGCAGTTAGCATAGTCCTGACAGTTCTACCTAGAAGCTATAGAGTTATGTTTTGGGTTTCATAATGGAGAGCTTCAGCCATCTACTGATTTGTGTACCTTTGCTTGTAGGTTCTTTCCAGATCCAAATGACATCGATAAGGCTGAAGGATGTCCGGATTCAGCTCATTAGTCTGGAGTCCCTTTCCTACCCTGGATTGTTTTCTTATTGTCGACCCCAACGAAAGGTGAAGGGATAAAAGCTAGGAATAGGAGGTAGGAGCAACAATTTGAAGTATTTGGATTGAGCCCGAGTTAAGTCATTCCAGAGTTCAGGTTGAGCATAGAGTAACAAGATACAGCACATGATCCACCATGGCAAGGGGAGGAAGGAAGAAGCATATATATATAGATATATACGATGCTATTGTCTGTAGAATAAGAAAGCATGTCACAATTTTCTGCTGTCTCTTAATTTTTTGTATATTTCGCTGTGATCAAACTTCACTACTACTACTACTACTTTAGCTTTCAATAGGGCTTTTTGATGAGACAAAATGTATTTAATATCCTTGCGGCACAAACTAAAGTTTGCCTCTGTACAGGTGTGGTGTGGTCACATCAAAGTAAGTATAAAGTCTGTTGTAAGTAAGTTTGTGGTTATCTACTAATTTAATTTGCTATTGTTTTTTTATTGCTTAAATGACATTTGTTCATGTTGATTAGTTTGTTTTAGCTTGCCATTTAAACAGCATTGTTAAGTGAGATCAAAGGTTCAGTATAACTGCAGCCCTTTTAATCTGTCTAAAATAAGATTTCATGTAAAGCTTTCTCATTTGTATTGATTTGTACTACTACTTGGTAGTATTACTACTTGGTCCTCTGTGTGACATATTTAAAATTTGTAAACATATTTTAGTTGTCTTTGTTAGACTTTTATAAACCTGTCAAACCTGTACTTGGTATTTCTAAGAAACCACCCATGACAGTTGGCTCACTGTTTTTCAATGGATTGTGACCTGAAGTGGCAACTTGAAAAGAATACTGAGAAAACACCTCATAGTAAGTGGAATTAAAAACCTGTTCCTGGATTTCCTTTATTCCCACTGATGAAGGAGAGTAAAATATATAGTCAGGCTTAAACGCACATTCTTTCTTCAACATAATGATGATTGGAATTGCAATCTGTGAATATAAGCATTTATGAAGCATAGGTGAAAATTCAACTGAATAAACTGAATTAACTGAAACTGAATCTCAACCAAGCATGAGGGCTGGGTGGGAATTCATCTTGTTCTTATTCATCAGCTTATGCATATGACCAAAGTTAATTTCAGCGCTGATGTTTTTTAGCTGAGATCTGAGCTCCAATGATTTAAATATGTATCAATAAAACTCTTCTAATTTCCTTTCTATTTGTGTGAGGGTTTTTTTAAGTTGAAATGCAAGTTTAGTTTATTTATACAACTTGCACAGAATTTAATGTCCATTAGATTCAAGAAAATACATGCAAATAAGCCTTGTAGATGGCTTCACAGAAACAGATGGATGAGGAAAGAGACGTCCCAACATTTGCTTTGGGGTCTTACATTTAAATGCAGCTCTCAAACCATCACAACCCACTGCAATACTATAGACAAAGAAATCTCCCACATGCTACACAATTTACAAGCAGTGTGTAAAAATGTGGCATTTTTGAGCAAAGCTAACATAGCTGCTCTGGGACTTATAAACTGAGCCCTTTTAAACTCCCTTCTCATTATTAATTCTGCATCAACATTTTCCAAATACTCATTCCAAAAAAAGTTTCAATTTGAAAAAATAAAACAAACAAGGTTTTGATGGGCTACTGTATAAAAACCTTGAACTCAATGCTATTCCTGAAATTTTGAATTGAAAAACCTTCCTGGATGGGAAGCAAAAAATCTTTAAACTTGGAAGCAAGTTTAAACAACAAGTTTCTTTTTCTTGGAATGACAATGACCTGGATTACTGAGAATCTTCACCAGCACATGTCCAAATACTCATTGTACAGTCCATTTATACTGAAACTATTCATAATTTATGAGGTCTTGTTGTATTAGTAATAAATACAACCATCCTTATTCTAATTTCATCTTTCATTACCTTTGTTAATCTATTTTGAGCCACTTATTTCACTTAAATTTCCAATTTTCCTATAACAGGTATTTATTTCTGAGAAATGTCTAAACTAAACAATTATTCTAAATAGCCAATATCTAATTTCAGTAATAACTGAACTGGTCATATTATTACACTGTCAATTTGTATAAACCTTAAAAAGTTAATCTCAGTTTTGATGCATTCAACTGCTTAAACTGGTATATGTAATTGCAGAATAAACTGTACACAGAACGCTGCTTCCATCTGTCAGGCAGATTATAAAATTGCAGTTACAAAGCAGTATTTGCAGGCAAGAATCCTGTCTATAGATGCTGGCAACGGATTAGTATTGTTCTATGAAAGCCTGCAGTACAAACAGTACCTGACAAGACCTGACCTGAAAACTCCAGGTGTAGTTGAAGAGAAGACAAACAATAGGAACTAACTGAAAGGGAGGGCAAAGCACAGGAATGGCTGTATACAACAGGCACTTCTACTGTACCTCCATGGGTAATTTCCCCTTGGCACGAGCATGGATGCAACCTCAAGTTTTTTGAATATTATGTTTACATAAAACTTCTAGGTAATCTGTCAGGGTTATGTGTGACAGACAAACACAGCATAGTAATTTCTTAACTAATTCATTGTAAAATAATGTTGAAGGATAGAGAGTTTTAAGATTATTTTTCTAATACAAAAAAATATGTTAAGTGTGGTATCCAATGGATATTTAGCTCCATTTACTCTGACGCCGCTAAATAAAATCCAGCACAACAAACTTCATTCAGATACCAACTAACCAGTAAACATTTTAGGTTTGCGCAAGCTTCCCTGCTCAACACACTAAACACCCCATCCTCATGATGAAACATGATGGTGGCAATATGTTGCTGTTGTAGAATTGTTCTTCTCCTTCTAAAAGGGATGCTGGTCAGATGTGAAATTGGGTGGAGATAAATGAACGCTAACTTTGCAGGAAAGAAGCTCACAGTACACATCTGTCTGTCTATCTGTCTGTCTGTCTGTCTGTCTGTCTGTCTGTCTGTCTGTCTGTCTGTCTTTCTTTCTACTAACTGCTAATATGTATTAGGTTGCTAATCATATAAAGGACGACATAGATAAGCAAACTATGCAGTCAGTCATAGATTCCATTTTCTGTACAGACTGGGAAACAAAAACCTGATCACCCTGTCCAGGTTCTACCTTTATTTGTTTTCCTCTGTTCAAACAGCAAGTCAAAAGTTTTAGTTGGCTAAAGGCTTCAGTCAACCTGACTTTTTTTTTTTTTTATTCTCCTTTATTTAACCAGGTAAACCCCATCGAGATCTGGATCTCATTTTCAAGGGGGACTTGGGGAAGGATTGGGTCTTAATCCTTCATATATAATATATTTGTATTTCTACTTTCCTTTTATAATTTGGATGATCACAAACGATAAAATAGGGGACATTGTAGAACTATCAAATGACTGAGGAAATGGTTGGTAATTTTTGTATTTCTTTACTCCTTTTCCATTGTACGATCATAAATAATAGAACAGTGGTATTATGGACCTATCAAAGGACTAAGAAAGTGCTTAGTAAATGTTTTTGTATTCAGATATATAATTTGTACTGTCATACACCAGTACAAACAGATGCTATGCACCTAATGTTACCTGGTATCTATCAAGAGTTAAACTGTAAACAGCTTTTGTAAGGGGAAAATCTAACTTTATGATAAGTCAGGGGTGGGTTTTTTATAAATTCTGTTAACTTTAACCTACTCCTTTTGAGTTTGCAAAATCCATGTATTTTCCTGTGGCGGCATTTGTTTGTTGTTGTCTTTGTTTGCTACTCAATAAACTAATAAACTAACCAATATATTTCACCAGTTCCAAATGAGCAACATGTCAAGGCTTTTCTGATTTTTAAACAGGTTTTTTTCAGAGATTTAAAAGAAAGGAGTGGATCCTCTGAGGAAGGGCTGAAATGATTGTGTGCACAACAAAATCTTGTGAAGTTCTTTTGAATGTTTGATCACCTTCTTTCTTTATTTGACACATTCAAACTCATATTTATTATTTGTTTTCAAATAGTATACACATTTCCTTGGAAACCAGTCAACAAGATATATTTTTATCCAGCAGGTTGCAGAGTCAGTAGTGTAACATTTAAAGAAAACATATAATCTTCACATCATTTTCTTTTAAGTTGGAGTTTTTGGTTTCCTCAGCTTTCTTCAGCTGCTTCCTCCCTGTTTTTGCCTTTGCCTCTCTTTCCTCCCTTTCCCGTCTTCTTATTGAAGTAGCCTTTAGCGAGGACGCACACACATCTACAAAACTCGCGGAAGTTTACTTCTCCATCATGGTTTTTGTCCAACATTTCCATTGCTTCCTCAATGTCAACTGCATTAATTTTATCCTGGTGAAGATACAAATGTAACAGTTTAAGAGCAGCATGAACATCAAAACTCATCAACAACTCATACACATTTTTTACACTTCGTTACCTTTAATTCAGGGCTCTCCATCTCCTGTTCAAAGAGCTTTTTGAGCTCCTCCTTGCTCAGCTGACCCTTCTTGCCTCCATCATCAGCATACTCCATAAAAACATCCACCATGTTTGTGATGATCTGATCCAGTCGGGCCATAACTGAAACTTGTCAAAACAAACAAAGTTCCAAGAAATGCAAAGTATAGAACTCAGCACATGGATGCATGCATTAAAAAAACCAACACATAAATTAATATAATGTTAAAAGATTCTGAAACAGACTGCATGTTATCATTTTCATTTTTTGCATAACACACCCCCTATCAGCCCAGATAATAAGAAACAGCTGTTTCTGAGTGCTCACCTGACAGTTTCTGTGCACAAAGTGAGAAGAACTTATGTCACCAGCTCGGTCCCTGAAGAGACTGTTGGGGTTTGGGAGGAAAGAGGCTCTCTTAAAGAGGACACAGTCAATGACTCACATAAACGCACCCATTGATAGACACAACCACACACACGCACAACCACCCTACACACACGCACACATATGTTATGTCATACTATCCTTGTGGGGACTTTCTTTTGACTTCCATTTATTTCCCACTCACTTCTATGGCCAAACCCAAACCCTTACCCTAACCTTTACAAACACATGCCTAACCCTAAATCAAACATAAACTCAATTCACACCTTAATCCTCAACGTTAAACTCCCTATCCTAAGAAAAGAACCTTTCCCTCATTGGAACCAGTCCTTGGTCCCCACAAGTACGTATAAGTCCCCAAAATATTGCATATTCATGGCAGGTTGTCCCCACAAGGCAACAAAATCATGGCCACACACACACACACAAACCCACACAAACAGATCGCTAGTGATTCATGTTTAAAAAATGTGCTTCACTCCACCCATTGAGCTTCACTCACCCCACCTGCTGTCTGTGCGGCACAACAAACCCAACAAATATTAAACTAGAATTTAATATAAAAAATTTTAGAAAACTGATGGCTGTGTTTTGTTTCTTGCAAGTGTTAGTCTTTTGTAAATAAAACACTGCATGGGTTATATATTGAAAACCAGGTGATCACTTCAAACTCTAGCGTGTAACAATATACACTGGATTTAGTGACAGAAATTTAATTTATTATACATTAGCATATTATTTATCACCATCTATTACGATAAATAACATGCTTATGAACTGAAATTCTCAATGTTTCTGTCTACGTTGCTTAGAAATAGTTGTTTATAATTACATAGGAGCAGGTCTCACTCTTGCTGTATGGAGGCAGACATCTTTTGTACTGTGGCAGTGCAGAATTTACTTTATTTTCTAAACTGAATACTTTATTTTTTTTTATTTCTCATAATTTCTTTAAGAATAGGTGAATTGTTGTAACGCTTGATAAATACGGGCCCTGAAACTTAAGTTTCTTTGAAAAATATCCATATCCTGAGGCATGGATTTGTAACCAATCCATTAACTTTGATAACCATAAATAAAATTCATTGCAAACCAGCTTTCTACCTGACCTTAACTTAAACTCCATTTAAGTCCCACTGTTCTGCAAAGGCCTCAGGTTGTATTGGATAACCATGGTGAACAAACAGGATCATGAACACTAAAGAACACAGCTGACAGGTCAGCTTAGTGTAGGAGAAGCTAGTCAGAGTTGATGGAGCAAAAAACAGGTTCATCCTGAAAGAAAACCTGTTTAGAGACTGTGAGATCTAAACCAAACAGCTCAAAGCCTAAGTAGGGCAGATTTAAATGTGGAATTTTTTGCAAATTTTTTAGTCCTGCTAAGTTAAACCTGTACATTCATAAGTTCAGTGCGGAACTAAAGTGTGCAACACCCTTCTCTTATTTACTTCTAGTTCTACTACTTTAAAGCAGCCATGCTTTCTTGATTACTAACTTTCTTAATGCTTCATGGAAGGTTTCTTTCAGATTTTAAAATGTTTACTAATCTTCTATCCTTGTGCATGTATAAAGAATTTTATTAAACAGGAAAATGTGGAGAGGTTGTACAAAAAAATAAGTCTAACACTTGAAAATATGTGCTCAGGATATACAGTATTCAAAAGTTATGAAGGAGTGAAATCCTAAAATTCAGTCAGATTTAACATAGAACATCTGTCTTCGTGCTAGCCACAGATTTGGAATAAAACTAAGGACTTGGCTATATTCTTCTAACAAATGGAAATAGGTTGATCTAAACCATTCTTTTAGAGCTGCGGTGGTATGTTTAGGCTCATTCTTTGTTTGAAAGCGGAATCTCTGCCCTAGCCAATGTCGAGTAGTTTAGTTTTATTCTGCTGAACTGGGCTGACTCTTACTTCTTTTTTCCACTCTGTGGTTCCAAGGCAGCAGGCTGGAAGCACTTTCCTTTTCAATTTAACCCCCACCAAGTTTTCTCTGTGGATCATTTTGCTCTTTAACCGGGCTGGATTACCTTCAGCCATTGTGTACTTCTCAGATTCCCCCTGCAGGAGAGGGGGAGGAAACTAAGCCCTTATATCATGTGTTGCTAAGGACAAAACATTAAACTTTTTAACACCCTCTTGTCCAGCTCAGGTTTTTCAAATTCACTGCTGGAGAGAGACTCCTGCAGCACCTCAGGGGTAAATCAACAACATCTACATTCAAATGCTTTTCATGCACTTCAGAAATCATGTGAAAGCTTTTATCAGGGCAGATTTATTTTATAATTCTAAAACTACACAAATACACTATGTCATTCTCCACTGATTTTCCATTTCTCCAATGATTCGCCGGGGAAATCACATTTCTTCTTACTGTAGATGATATCTTGTTGCAGCCTTAAGAACAGCTCTTATTAAATTGGTGCAATATGATTTTATTGGTTTAGATTCTAGTTTGGTTGAAAGGTAGTGAAGACATATCATTGTTTTGCTCAGTGCTCACTTTATTGTACATTGTTGGCAGCTCATCACACTTCTCTGTTTTACTACCCTCTTGGAGTTAGAAGCAAATAAAAGCAACGCAGGAGAGCCAGTGCATGAGACCCTTTTTTATATGTGGAGTATAAAAAATGGATCCGAGATATTTCATACTAAAGCTATAGATTTATACTTAGTGCCAGACTAAGATAGTATGTTGCTCAGATGTCATTTTAAATTAGGGCTCTGCTCCTAATACAGCCTAAAGTAGGGGTTTGCATTGTATTTAAGTAGTTTGTCTTTCATTGTTTAGTGATTGAATGTTAGTGGCTTGGTTTTGTAACACTTTTTTGCCACATGATAAAAAAAGGCTTTTCCTCTGATGTAATTTATAATTTTTTTGTTTTTGGCTGCACTGTTTGGTCCAACCTCCATTGCCAATTGATCAATTTTAAAAGCTTGTAAAAGCCTTCACTTCTTCTTTTCCATTTATCTGGAACTAACTACTAGAAGACCTTAAAAGGGCTAATTTCATAAACACTTTTAAATCAGGCATAAAAACATATTTTTTACTAAAGTGTTATTAGCTTAATTTTCAAACTCTTCTTTACCTGCTTCTAATATGCAACCACAAAGTGCTTCTCTGTGTTAAAGTGGTTCGGTTCATGTACAGCACTAGTAATTGTCCTGTTACTGAGAAGTGCTATACAAACAAACTTGGATTATTTATATTTGGAACATAAAAGACTGGATAAAAGGATCATGGTGGAGCGACGGTTGGCCTGCAGCAACCTCTGGGATCTGAGAAGTTGCTTCAGGTGGGGTATGCATATTTGTGTTTAAATTAGCCTGCCACATCTGTCCCCAATGAAATGTGTTGTTTTAGAGAAACCAGGAAATTTATTTTGAAGCGATAGTACTTATTTTTTAATGCAATATATAATTTTAAACTTTTTGTCTGTTCTGGATTTGACAGATCCGTCTCCTATAAATGTGCTCCAGTCGAAAAAGGGGGTTTAAACAGACATAAGTCAATGCTGTCAACCCATTCCAGTCGATTTTTGTCTGTCTTTGCTTAAAGCAAAAAGAAAGTAGTTCAAAGGAGAATGCTCCCATCTAGTTTGCAGCTCTTAGAGCGAAAAGTTTTGTTCAAAAAAGCATGTACTGTAATTTTTAATAGCCCTCAAAGACCTAAACCATTTGCCTAAAGCAAGATTTTTTTGCACATATCTGTCTGAAATTCCTTTAAGTAATGGATATAGACCAGCTTATTTATCAAAAATAAATAGCCTTTGGGTAGGCTTTTTGTTAACAAAAACAAATAAAGGTTGTATAGTTTAGGCAGAAAATGTTTAACTGTTGCTGAAGTTTTAATTTGAAATCATATATTTTCAAAAATAATAATTTGGCTTTCCAGAGTTTTTCTATTTAACACATCTGTGTATGTATCATTCTCTTCTTTTTAAAGATGATTTGAATAAATAAATCTTTAAGTATTTAAAAATGCAGAAAGAAATTTTTACTGAAATAACCTAAGGGCTTGTGCGTCATCTAGTGGACAAACTTAGGTATGACATGCCCTGCTACCAAGGACTACTGATCATTGTATTAGAGGGTAGGAGAACTCTACTGCACTGCCTGCAGCTGGTAAAAGCTCCCTGCTCGGATGCTAACAGGTAACAAGTGACATGAGCACAATACCCCCATATTGTGACCTCGTACTGGCAGCCAGTTGCAGAAGAATTTATTTCAAAACATTAATTCAATTCCAAGAATAAATTTAAGGTCAGACTGTCTGTTGCTTTTAACTAATACTAGGAATTTGCTTGGGACTTGAGGAGACAGAGTCTTTTTATGTGTTTTATTGTAAGTAAATCAGGTGGTGTGCGTCTTATTTTTTATTTTTTTTTAAACTGCATTATGTTATTAACTTTTGGTTAGTAAAGAGCTTTAAAGGTTAAGTGATTAAAAGGTTTGATTATTGATTGATTGATTGTTAACTAATGTTTTTTTAAATGACCTCTGCAAAGCTTCCATAAAGTGTCCACAGAGTGGTATGAGACATTTTTTAGACTTTTTCATATAATTTTATTCTTTGCAAGGCAAAGTTCACTGTAGTATATTACAGAGATACACTGTGTGCAGAATTATTAGGCAAATAACCACATCATACTTTTCATACATGTTGTCCTACTCCAAGCTGTATAGGCTTGAAAGCCAACTACCAATTAAGTAAATCAGGTGGTGTGCGTCTATATAATGAGAAGGGGTGTGGCCTAATGACATCAACCCCCTATATAAGGTGTGCTTAATTATAAGGCAACCTCCTTTCCTTTGGGAAAATTGGTCAGAGAAGAGATTTGACAGACTCTGAAAAGTCAAAAATTGTCAGATGTCTTTCAGAGGGGTGCAGCAGTTTGGAAATTGCCAAGCTTTTGAACGGGATCATCACACAATCAAGTGGTTCATGGTAAATAGCCAACAGGGGGCGAGAAGCATGTTGAAAAAAGAAGACGCAAAATAACTCCCCATGAATTGAGAAGGATTAAGCATGAAGCTGCCAGGAAGCCATTAGCTGCCATATTTCAGAACTGCAACATGTCTGGAGTGCCGAGAA